TATCTTCTTACCTGCACAGTATACCAAAGAAACTTTTTTTGGAGTAATATAAATTATAAATTCAGCTATAGAAAAGTCCTTTTCTGAAAAAGAAAATCTTAATTTTTTTCTTTTCCCACTTTGATTTCAGGATCTATGTTTCTTCCACCTACCACTGTGGCTGGTGCCACTCTGTACTCAGTGGCAATGTATGGAGGATTAGTTCTCTTCAGCATGTTCCTTCTGTATGATACCCAGAAAGTAATCAAGCGTGCAGAGACAGTACCAGTGTATGGAGTTAAAAAATATGATCCCATCAATTCGTAAGTAAACTTTAATGTTATTATTCTGTTACATGAGAATGTTTGTGTGTGTTTGACCTATTTTGTTTTATGGCTGTGTTAGTTTCCTAGAGCTACCATAACAAAGTTATCACCAGCTGGGTGACTTAAAACAACGGAACTTTATTCTGTCACAGTTCTGGAGGCCAGAAGTCGGAAATCAGGGTGTTGGCAGGATTGGTACCTTCTGAGAGCACATACGTTCCATGTCTCTCTCTTAGCTTCTTGTTACTGCTGGCAGTCCTTGGCTTGTAGATGCATCACTTCGGTCTCTGCCTCCATTGTCGGTTGGCGTTCTTCCTGTGTCTTCTGCTTTTCTTATATGGCTGTGAGTCATATAGGATTAAGGGCCCATCCTTCTCCAGCGTGACCTCATCCTAACTTCCAAACTCATATCTTAATTACGTCTGTGAAGACCTTATTTCCAAGTAAGGTCACATTCACAGGTACCGGGGTTTAATATTTAAACATTCTTTGGCGGGGGGTGGGAAGGGACACAGTTCAGCCCTCAACAATGGCTTTAGCAACTTTTACCACTTTATTTCTGTTGCAGTATGATCTACTCTCTCTAAACTGTACGTCCAGAAAAACCTGTGATTATATTGCAACTAAGTGTAATGTTTAGGTATTTATTCAATTAATTCAGAGTATTTTACCTGTTTTTGTTAGACTTATGGTGCAATAATGTGCTCTTGATTTTTTTGTTGTTGTTGATTTTTTTTTTTTTGCCTTTTTGTGACTGGTAAGGGGATCGCAACCCTTGGCTTGGTGTCGC